CAATACCAAACTGCTTAGGATAACAATAAATATTTTGGGTGAATTTGGTTGATTTCCTTTGCTTAGTTTTAACGTGAGCGTGTTTTACACAGACAGACAGACAGACGGACATAAAAAAAAAAAATCGACTCAGAATTTCATAAGGACCCAGAATATATATACTTTGTTGGGTCTTAGATGAATATTTCTTGGTGTTACACACGGAACGACAAACTTATATATACCCTCTATCACCACTGATGGTGGTGGAGGGTATAACAAACGTAGAACGAGTTAAATTTGGAAATTTTTTGAATTTTTTTTAAAAAATTATAAAATATATCGAGGGACTATATTCAATAGTCGCTATCTCTCATTTTTATGAAAATGAGATTTTGATGGCAAAATATTCAGCAAACTATCGCGCATCAGTGATATAAATTTCAAAGAAAAAAAAATATTTTTTGGCAATTTTATAGCATTTTTTAAATTTCTCTATCTTAAAAAAAGAAAAATTCTGAATGCAAAACTCTCTATCTTATCCAAAAATTGCTTCAAACTCGATCCCTTTGGATAATTTTCTGTTGCAAAACAAGTCTTCTTAATAATTTGGACATGCTGAACACAAATCCGTCAAAATATTTAAAATCGGTCTAATAGTTTTTGAGATATCGCTCATTATGATACTAATTAAATCAATTTTATTGTCGTGTTTAACCATATAACATTGATTTTGGACCAAAACATTATAATCTGTTGCTTTTTCAACAATTTGGTTTATTTTCCTCCATTAAATTGTATAAAATATAATATTTATTGATTTTAATTCAAATAAAAATTTTATGTTTCCATGAAAAACTCTCTATCTGTTGGTTGAATGAACATTTTCGTAGAAAAATAAGCTCTATCTGATATAAATTTGTGAATAATTTTGTAAATAATGCAAAAATTAAAATTCTTTTTATATAATGGTTTAGAATATGGTCGTAAAAATATATTGTAAAAGAAAAAATTAAAAAATCTTCACGAACTAGCGAAATAAACAGTTTTTTTGCTCTCCTGAAAACTTGTATTATTTTAGATAGAGACTATTGAATATAGTCCCTCGATATATACATAATTTGGAAATAACATTAATTGTTTATTGAAGAGTATAAAAGTATTTTCAGTATTTCACTAAAAATATTGATAGATTTGGCCTGTTTGTGAGATCTAGAAGATTAAAAACTGTAAGTACATTACATGTTAAATAATTAATTATTTGTCACTAAAAAGAAAGAGGAGGAAGAATGCCCACAAGAGAGTGGCAATTGTATACCTCCCTAGGAGGACATGCCAATGTTGAAATAACTAGTCACCTAGGGGTGTGGTGGTCGGTCGGCTAGTGGTGACATGGTATATTATCACCTAGAGGCAATGGACGGACGCTGATTGCCCTATCCAGGGGTTATCACAAGGATACATACTTATTACTATACCATTGATCTCAGCCGAATCACTACTATTCACCCATAGAGTGCGATGTCTGCCTGGTGTGTCTTTTTAGTGAAGCTCTTGTCTCCAAACACTATGGTGGCCGAATATTTACAAGAAACAATTGTTAAGCCGCCTTTTATACAAATTTATAGCTTTGTAGAGAATGTCTTCACGGACCTAGAGTATATAACCTGGCTAGGATGTCGTCTTATATATGTAGATGTTGTTTGGGCAAAATATTGGTACTATCCATTGTGGGCTTTATGTCGACTTTAGATCCCTTATACAATCCCGCTCACTTAAATAGGTTCACTGTTTTGTTTACATTCAAATTAATTTTTTGCAAAAAATAATTGACTAATTGGTTATAATAGAATTTTAGTTAATAATTTGATGTCTTATATATCACTAGATAGACAAACATTAGTGAAATACTTAATAACCGATTTTTAATAATTATTTTTTTCTAAAATACTACGTTTTTGAACAAAATTGCATTTTTCATGAAACTTTTTTATATTATAAGATTATGGAGGCCACTCCAAAATTTTTACATTCTGGATTCGAATCCACCCTTTTACAGCCCTGGCGGTATGGATCGGGGCATTATATTTTTGAAATAACCACGGCAAGGGTTCAATGATACCCGAAAATCTGAAAAAAGCTATTTCCAGTATGGCATTACAATTATTACAATTCTTACTGGATGAAAGAAATTAAAGCTCACATGTTTCATAATACGAAATTGCCCTTCACTACATCCCATATCCTCCACAGCTAAGCAGACGCCTCAGGTGGAGCTCTTCCTTTCAAAAATCATAAAAATAATGATAATATCAATCTGGACCTTCTAAATTTCTAAATTGTTGATATAGCTTTTTATAACCATGTGTTCACGTGCAAACTGAAGAGGATTTCTCTTTACGTACGTTTCTCTTTACACCACTATAGTGGGAAGGGTATTATGCGTTTGTGCTGGTGTTTGTAACGCATTAAAATATTAGTACTATGCCCACCTTAAAGTATACCGATCGACTCAGAATCACTTTCTGAGTCGATTTAATGATATCCGTCCGACCGTCCGTGTGTCCATGTAAACGTTGTTATCAAAGTACAGATCGCAATTTTCAAGATAATTTGATGAAATTTGGAATACACGTTTGTTTTGACCCAAGGACGAAGCCTATTGAAAATGGTTAAAATCGGTCCATTATTTCACCTAGCCCCCATACAACTGAACCCCCCAAAAAGGGCTTTTGAGCTCATAATTATATATAATATAAATGTATCTCGTTGAAAGTTCGCATAACTAAGTTTTATACAAGCCTTCGGATCGGACTTCATTTGACCCTAGCCCCCACACAAAGCCCCCTTCAGAAAGTGACTTGAATATCCGCAATTCATTTATTAGCACTGTTATTGCAATGAAATTTAGCACAGACAAATATTATATATATTATATAATTATAATATAAATACAAATCTATCCAGTCCATTTTATCGGGATCGGTCCACATTTGCTCCTATCTCCCATATAAAGCCTCCTTTAGAAAATAAGTTTTTCGTCAATAAATTGCTTAAATAAATCAGAATCAAGGTTATATTCAAGATAAATGCTTTATTATGAAAAATAAAACACATTTAATATTCGTAACTGGTGTAGGGTATCATATAGTCGGCCAAGCCCGACTATACTTTCTTACTTGTTTAATATTTCTAAAGCCTTGGCCCTTCATACAATTAGTTTTTCTGTAGCTAGGCTTGCTGCAACACCCACTTTTTCTTGATCACTTGACTTGGAGGCAAATTTTATGAAATCTCTTCTTTCCGCTTTTGTTATGACTCCATGTGTAGGTCCATTTATGTTTTCTTAGTATTCAGACTGTTTTCTTATAAAATTGCAAATAATATTCTGAGTTTGAGTTGGGAGCTAAATCGTCAAATTTCGAAAAGAAAATCGACAAAATTGTCAATTAATTTTTCGAAATCGTCATTATATCGTCAAAACCATTTTCCATACATAATATACATATTTGATGTTATTTGTACTTATATTTTTATACCCTTCACCTTCGTGAGAAGGGTATATATATAAGTTTGTCATTCCGTTTGTAATTTCCACAATATAATTTTCCGACCCTATAAAGTATATATATTCTGAATCCTTATAGATAGCGGAGTCGATTAAGCCGTGTCCATCTGTCTGTTGAAATCAGTTTTCTGAAGACCCCAGATATCTTCGCGAATCCAAACCGCGATCCGTTTTGCGTCGTTGTTGTTCCTTTTATTTTGCTATTGCTATAATAATGATATAGTCGGAAAAATAAAATAAATTTAAATTTTATTAAATTTTTTAAATACACTATGATTTTTTAAATACACTATGGTATTTAAGATTCGGCACAGCCGAATATAGCACTCTTAAAGCCCCTTTAGACGATCACACTTTACGTACGACAAGTCTAATGAAAAAGTCAATTGAAATTCTATCCGTATGACAAAAAAGAGAATAAAAGTCGTATGACTTATATTTTTTGTATAAAACAATAACAAAGTAAGATGGAAACAGCTGTTTCACTTTTTTTGTATGTGTTTACATAAAAATATATCCCTGATCTGATGCGACGTGCTTTTTTTTAATCATTTCAGCCATCATTTCATTACATATTACGTTTAGACGATCCCATCCGTTCTCTTCTACACAAAATTTTGACAGATCATATTACTTGTGTGCTCGTGTGAAGGGGACTTTACTTGTTATTATTTATTTTAACTGTCGAGAGTCTCGACTCGAGACATTTTTATAAATTTTGATAGTTGTTATTATCTGTTTAATTTGGCAAATATATTTCCAAAGAACTGATATTGAGTTTTTTTTTAAACTATTTGATATGATCTAAATATAAGGGATGTTTTCAGTATTCCATCTTTTTTTAGATTTTTTCTTTAAATATTTTTTTAATATATGGGCAATTTCGTGTCAAGTGATCCAACTCAAAAAATCGATTTGGATGGAATTTGCACCAAGGTTAGACTATTGGATAGTAGGCCAAATTCGTTTTTAAACGAGGACAGGACTATGTAATATTATTTTGAATAAATAAATAAATAAAATATCTTTGTTTTTACGTTATTATTCATTTTCTTAATGCAAAAATTTTTAGAAACTGATTTTCTGCAAGATGTTTTATATGGAGGATAGGGTCAAATATAAGCCGATTCTCGTAAAACTTGGAGAAAGGATTTGTTTTTAATTTTTAAGAATTTTTTATCCATCCCTGCATAATTTCTCACACAACTTTTGTGCTTGCTCTGTTTTGTTGTTATAAACAATATATTTGCTTCCAAAATCTCACTTTCTGATCTCTCGGATTCCGTTTTTATTTAAAATCGTTGAAAATTTAAAAACTAAACGTAGTTGAAAACTTAGCCGGCTTACAGTAGATTTTAAGCCGCCGCCGACATATTTTGTGTCAGTCGCCGCCGTTAATATTTGTCGTCGCAGGGCTCTGGTGGTATTAGCATCCCAGCAAAAAATTTTGCAGTAGTGCAAAGTGAATGCAAGTTTCATGACTTCTTTAATAACAGTGCTAACACAACTCATTCTAAATGCCTTCCTAAATTCGAAATTCTCGCATAAACACATGATCCCTAATGACACGCTAATGTTATTAAAATCATGCATGTTTCACCTAAATCGAACCACTTCGTCATCACTTGCACTCTTTGTCATGTAACTTTTTGCTGGGATCCTTTGGAAACCACCTAAATATTCGGTGTATTATTAATTTATTTTTCCCACACACAAATCGCGAAAAATAATTAAAATTATTTATTAAATCAATAAGTAAAGTTATTGGCTTTAAACAAGAGAATATTATGGCCAAAGTAAGAATACCCAAACAGAAGGTAATATTGTGCGGTGATTATGGAGTTGGCAAAAGTTCTTTGTTTCGACGTTTTACCAATAATACATTTGTGACGGACACCGACCGCAAGTCTACATTGGGTTTAGACCATATTGACAAAGATTATCGCATAGATGACAAACAAATAAAGGTAAGAGCTTAAAGAGGTGGAAGTAAAATCATATTTTATATGAAATGGGGTTTGTTTTCTTTAAAACAGTTACAATTGTGGGATACTGGCGGTATGGAAAGGGTGGCCTCGGTTACCTCTTCCTATTACAAATTTGCCGAGGGAGCTATTTTGGTGTTTGCCTTAGATAGTGCCGCCTCTTTTCACTCTTTGTCACAGCATCTATTGGACATAGTGACGTATGCAGAAAATGCTAAAATTTTCATTTGTGGCAATAAGTCTGACCTGGAGGGACGGGAGCCTGAAGTCACCGATGCTGAGGTAGAGGCATTTTGTGAACAGTGTCATACACTTATAAGTGCCACTTATAAGACATCTTGTAAAACCGGCGAGGGCATAGAGGAAATGTTTGAGGATATTTCCCGTTTACTAGTAGAAGCGAATCGTTCAAAAATGGATTTACAGGCCAGCATGGAACAGCATGGTTTTCAAATCGTAGCCGGCCAAGTGGAACTAATGGACGGTGTTGATGAGGGCGAGGAAGCCTCTAGTTGTGTTTGCTAGCAAATGGCCGAACTGGAGTTCGGTTAAGGAGCCAGTGCCAAGTATAATTGATATAAGGGTGGTTGGGGTTTGTAATTTAGCAACCCCAGGAGGGTGGTACTTTTGTAAAGGTATTACTCATATTCATAAGAGGTCTCAATTTGTCATTCTAATACGATTTCATTTAACAGTTTTGTAAAAGCTTTAATTTATAATTTATATTAACTTAATATAGGTTTATTAATCATCACATATTATTAAAAAAGAATCAAATATTTATAACTTTTATATTCATATAAAGAAAGAAAATCATTATTGTTATTATCCGACCTAACAGACTTGCTAATCCAAATGATTGAAATTTCGCAATTACATATTATTAAAATTCTAAATTTTTTAATTCTGTTTCAAAACTGTATTTCGGAAATTTGTATATCAAAATTTAGCCATTATATTTTGAAATTCTTATTTGCATTTTAAAACATAATTTTAAATTCGAGTTAAATTTTTTAATAATTCAAAATTGCTTCCACTTTTGATCGGAATGAAATTCTGTTATTAGGCAGGTATATATAAAAAACGTCCATTAATCATGAATTTTGAAAAAAAAACTAATAACATTTAAAAAAAATCAATATTTGTAAACTTAAGATTTCGATAGTAGAAAGCCCGGCTTAAAATGTAGATAAAGTAGTGCTGCTTTATATTTAAGTTCAATAAACTACAACAACACAGGATGGTTTAAAAACCCTTTTTATCTCATTTAAAAAAAAAACATCGAAATATCAAAACCATTTTTGTCATAAACAGCATTTTTTATCTAAATAGTTTTAAGGTGACTAAACTAACAAAAATGATTACTTAAGAACAAATTATAATTAACAAAATACTAAATATAAATTTTACTAATATGATTTTAAAGAAAGACAAATTTCTTTAAAATTAACAAATATCAAAAAAAAAAAAAAAAAAAAAAACAAAATTGTGACATTTTCCCAACTACTGTCGAATAATGAATAAAGTTTTAAAAGAAAAACCAAATATTAATTGCAGTTTTTAATTTTGTAATAATTCTACAACTAATTAAAGAACCAGGAGACTAATTATGACATTCGAAAGAGATCGGAATTCCTACTAATTTTCTTTAAATTGTATTGAAGTTTCGATCGTTTTCGAATGCCAGAACTTGCTTCCCCCTAGAGACAAATTAATACAACTGTTCGATATCTTTATTGTAAACTCCATCGAAATCCATGTTTAAAATAAATTTTTATTACAAATTGGAGAAATATTCGAAGTTATCAAAATATCACCCTAGTTTAGTTCTTTTTCAGTTTAAGATCGTTTCAAGTTCATTTATATTTCAGTTCTAGTTCTGTTTTACTTCCGTTTCAGTTCAGTTCTAGTTACATTCTAATTCAGTTCTAGCTCAGCTTACTTCAGTTCCAGTTCAGTTTTCTATCAGTCGTAGTTCTGTTCTAATTCGATTCTAACCCCCATTATCTCAATATCTGGTTATATTTTATCGTAAGGTTAAATTGACAGTTTTCATACAAAAATTATTTTAACCGGCAGAATATCTAGTCCTAGTACATTCCTAGCTCAGTTCTAGTTCAGTTCTAAGTCAGTTATATATAAGTTTTAGATCAGTTCTAGATCATTTCTAATTCCATCCTAGTTAAGTTTCCGTTCAAGATAAGTTCATTTCCAGCTCAGTTCTGTACTCAGTTCTAGTGCACAAATAAAACTCAGTTCTTGATCAATTTTAATTAACTCCCTGCTCAACTTTAGTTCTGTTCTAGATCATTTCTAGTTATGTTATTGTTTAGTTCCAGTTCAGTTCTAGTCTACTTCTAATTTATTCTTACTTCATTTTATTTCATTACAGAAATAATACTCTGTTCTTGATCACTTTTAGTTAATTTCCTGCTCAACTCTAGTTCAGTTCAGTTCTAGATCATTTCTAGTTCAATTCAAGTTCAGGTATTGTTCAGTTCTAGATAATTTCTAATTCAGTGAAAGTTTAGTTCTAGTTCATTTCAAGTTCAGTTCTAGTTCAATTCAATTCAGTTCTTGTTCAGTTCAAGTTCAGTTATAGTTCAATTCTAGTTCAGTTCTAGTTCAGTTATAGTTCAGTTCTAGTTCAGTTCTAGTTCAGTTCGAGTTCAGTTCTAGTTCATTTCTAGTTCAGTTCTAGTTCATTTCTAGTTCAGTTCTAGTTCAGTTCTAGTTCAGTTCTAGTGCAGTTCTAGTTCAGTTCTAGTTCAGTTCTAGTTCAGTTCTAGTTCAGTTTTAGTTCAGTTCTAGTTCAGTTCTAGTTCAGTTTTAGTTCAGTTCTAGTTCAGTTCTAGTTCAGTTCTAGTTCAGTTCTAGTGCAGTTCTAGTTCAGTTCTAGTTCAGTTCTAGTTCAGTTTTAGTTCAGTTCTAGTTCAGTTCTAGTTCAGTTCTATTTCACTTCTAGTTCAGTTCTATCATAGTTCTAGTAATGTTCATTCTCACTACCAGTACTAGTTCAGTTCTGGTTTATTTCTAGATCAGTTTTACTTAAATTCTAGTTCAGTTCTAGTTACATTCTAATTCAGTTCTAGCTCAGCTTACTTCAGTTCCAGTTCAGTTTTCTATCAGTCGTAGTTCTGTTCTAATTCGATTCTAACCCCCATTATCTCAATATCTGGTTATATTTTATCGTAAGGTTAAATTGACAGTTTTCATACAAAAATTATTTTAACCGGCAGAATATCTATAACCGGAGTTGGTGTTAACGGGGGTAAGGCAGTTTTCTTTCTGTCCTTTCTTTCAGTTCTTGTTCAAGTTCAGTTCTAGTTCAATTCTAGTTCAGTTCTAGTTCAGTTATAGTTCAGTGCTAGTTCAGTTCTAGTTCAGTTCGAGTTCAGTTCTAGTTCATTTCTAGTTCAGTTCTAGTTCAGTTCTAGTTCATTTCTAGTTCAGTTCTAGTTCAGTTCTAGTGCAGTTCTAGTTCAGTTCTAGTTCAGTTCTAGTTCAGTTATAGTTCAGTGCTAGTTCAGTTCTAGTTCAGTTCGAGTTCAGTTCTAGTTCATTTCTAGTTCAGTTCTAGTTCAGTTCTAGTTCATTTCTAGTTCAGTTCTAGTTCAGTTCTAGTGCAGTTCTAGTTCAGTTTTAGTTCAGTTCTAGTTCAGTTCTAGTTCAGTTCTAGTTCAGTTCTAGTTCAGTTCTAGTTCAGTTTTAGTTCAGTTCTAGTTCAGTTCTAGTTCAGTTCTAGTGCAGTTCTAGTTCAGTTCTAGTTCAGTTCTAGTTCAGTTTTAGTTCAGTTCTAGTTCAGTTCTAGTTCAGTTCTAGTTCAGTTCTATTTCACTTCTAGTTCAGTTCTATCATAGTTCTAGTAATGTTCATTCTCAGTACCAGTACTAGTTCAGTTCTGGTTTATTTCTAGATCAGTTTTACTTAAATTCTAGTTCAGTTCTAGTTTTATTCAAGTTCTTGTTTAGACTTATTCCAGTTCATGTTGATGTTGAATGTGCAAGCCATAAATGGCCAATAATATTAGATGAATAGTATGAAATAAAAGGAAATACATACAAATATGTAATATGATTTTTATTAATTTGTATGTATACATTTTTACACAGTTTTTATTAAATAACTTCAAAAATCGTTCCATATTTGTTGAGAACTTTTTTAGTACCAATTTATAACCTTATCAAGTATTTATGAAACAATTTTTGTAATAAAATTTTGTTTCACAAACCTTTGTTAAAATTAAAAATGTATTAATTAAATTTAAATTAAAGAGGATTAAATTTTAATAATAAAATAAACAATTTTAATTATCGGTATTAAATTTATTGTATTAGGGGCAAGTAAATACTTAAATATAAAAATTTTTTCTAGGTTTACCAATAAATTTATATGAAAAATACATTAACAAAAAAAAAAAAAAAACATATACGACTTTTGGTATGTCCTCACCGTAAACAGATTTTAGCCAATAATTCTTAGTCTTAATCAGATGAATTTTATTACTTAAAATCTTTGAAAAATACTAAATAATGTTAACATACAAATAAATGAACATTTTAATTAATATATTAGTTTATAAAGCAATTTAACTCATGTTTTTCTTCTCACACTATATATACGGTTAGTATCAATGAATAACATTAGTATATTTAAATATTTAGTTATATGCATATTAAAATTAAATTACGGGGAATGAATATTTCTCGTTTTGTTTATCCAAAACTAATTTTTAACAAAATAATATAAAATGTTTAATTTTAACAATACAATCAATGTACATACACTATTAATTTTCTATTATACTTTAAGATGTAGTCGACGACGAAGTAAATGTAAAATATAGACTTATAACTACACCAATAACAAAAAATCCACCCACCACATACAAGACGGCCTTTTCTCTTAAAGCCCTTAATAACATAGTATTCAAAGTTCTTGATGCTCGTCCCAATTCAGCATTAGTTTCTCTTAAACGTCCTCGTGCATTCTGTATAGTCTCCCTTTGATGATGCAAATCACTCAAAACCTGTGCGCCCAATGTTTCGGTTTCGACGATTACACGATATCCTTCCTGCAGGCGATTACCAGTTCTTTCTATAGTCTCGGAATTTTCCAACAGTCTTTGTCTCTGATCATTACTTATGGCCACATCCTCATAGTCATCATAGTCTCCAGCAGCAGCTTGTAGGTCTAAGGTTGTGTGTTTCTTCTTACCCGCCTCTTTCGCTTTTGAGTATTCCGTTTGTAAACGTTTCAATTCCACTTGGGCACAATTTAATTTATTAGTGGCTGTTGTTCTTTGTGCTGGATTGAGGTCTCTGATCTCAAGACCCATTTGTTCCAACAGTTCTTGGGCTTCTGTTAAGCTGGCATCGATTTTTGCACACAATTCTCTGCGTTCATTTGTTAGAGTCAATCTACCAATTTGACTGGTGATTTCTGCAATTAATGCTGCATATTGCTGCTCGTAGTTCTCCAACAGCGTCATTGGTAATTTTTTATCTTTTTTTTACTTTTTTTGGTTCTGAAAAGTAATTATTTATTGCAGAAATATGTTACTTTCTGAAAATTTTCTATACTTTTGTTTATTTTTCTAATTTTTTTGTTGTAACAGCTGTTTGCTTTTGAAAAGAGAATGTCAAAAACTAGAAAAACATCAACAGCTGAAAATCGCTGTAATAAAAACGCTTGGTTCAAATTGCGGTTGATTTGTGAATCGGGTCGAAAATGGTATTTAATCGATATCTCAACTTATGTTCAAACAAATGAAAGACAATTTATTTGAAAAAATCTAAGTATTTTTACAAATCCAGTAGGAAAGCATTATCGCACATGTCCGACCATATGAGTATATTTTCAAAATTATAAAAAAATCCGATGTATTTAATCAATTATGGGGTGAAATATGGGTCGATCCTAACAAAATTTAAAGGAGGGATTTATTTTTATTCTTTAAGTAATTTTTATGGGGTCTATGGTCAAATGAGGGTCGATTATTACAAAAATTGGTAGTATCATTTACGCTTATATAAAATTTAGTTGTGCGGATTTCTTAAAAGATACTAGTATATTATGAGCTAAAAAGCATTAATCGGATGATCCAGTTGTTTGTAGGTTAGGTGAAATAAAACACCAAATTATTACAACATTTACCAAAATATGAAATTTTTTTATAAAAAAATTTAGTCAAATGTCTCATATCGCATAATATGGCCAACTTAATGATATGTATTATAATATGTGGTCTTTCACAGACCGATTCTCATGAAATTTTGTATAAGGGAATTTAATAATTACGTATTGGTCATGCAAATACATGTTTGTAGTCAATAATTCCAAATAAATTTTAACTATTTTTCGTTTTCGAATCAAAGAATTTGCTACAAAATAGCATCGATTTTTTTTGCATATTTTGTTATAAATTTTGCTTTAAAATGCATATACATATATTTTTTTTTGCATATTTTTGAATTTTTCTAATACAAATTGTGTTTTGTTTTCTTGATATTAAATATTTTTCAGGGACTGTAAATAACTGTTATTCTGAAATTTTTAACCCAAAAAATCTCTATGTTGGAGTCAACGTAGACCTATACTATTATATACCAATATACTCGTATTGCTGTACTTTATCAGAATATATGATTTAAAAAAAACGATCTTTGCTCCACAAATAACAGTTATTTTTTAACGGAAAAATAAAAGTCTGATTGAAACAGTTAAAAAATGAGTTTTATTTTTCCGTCATAAAATAAGAATTATTTGAGGAGTTTTATTTTTTCCATCAGAAAATAAAACTCATTTGTTTTCCCCGTCAAAAAATCAAACAATATTTTTATATATTTTTTCTGTATCCTATTTTATTGAGTTTATCTGACCAAGTCCATTAAATAGTTGATTTGAACTGACGCTGAAAACATCTGAATCAAAAACGGCAAATGGTAATTTTCTGTTATGACTGAACACAAGCAGTTTTAATTTCTTCGGAAATTGAAATTGAATTGAAAATGAGTTTTATTTTCTGACGAAAAAAATAAAAGTCCTCAAATAATTTTTATTTTAGGACGGAAAAATAAAACTCTTTTTTTAAAAGTTTCATTTGAATTTTTATTTTTAGGTTGAAAAATAACTTTTTCAGGTGGATTTTTATTTTTAAAGTCACAAAATAACTGTTATAAACTGACTTTTTTAATATAACTTATAACTGTTACGGTCCCTGATATTTTTACAATAAATTTGATATCTACTTACATACTTATTTAAAATTGTTTGATATTTATTTAAAAAAATTCCAACAACAAAAATACTAAGTTCCATATCTGAAACTATGATATTAAATTTTACAGAGTTTTAGTTATTTTTTTTAAACACTATAATGGAGGGGGTATTATGCGTTTGTGCTGATGATTGCAACGTCCAAAAATATTGGTACTATACCCACCTTAAAGTATTGACTAAGAATAACTTTCTGAGGCTGTCCATCTGTGTGTCCATATAAATTAAATATATACTATTTAAAGATGTTCTATAGGCTTTATAATTACTGTCATTCTCCAGATTGTACATTCCGATAAATTGGTACATAAAGCGTTAACTCTGTCATTAAGAACCTACTTATATACATATTTGTTGTCAAAATCTTAAGTTCTAAATATCTATAAATATATACATATGTACTTAAAACGATAAAAAAAATTTGTGATAGCAACTGAAATTTTATTTAAATTTTATAAAGAAATATTTTTTGGTGCATATTTATACGTCAATTGTGACCATGAAAGTTTTCGAGGAGTACAATAAGTACAGATGGACTAAATTTAATCAAAAGTTTCCTTAATTGTTCCAAAATAACACGAGTAACTAATTTTATTGAATTGTTTTGAAAATTGTCTCCTATGTAGATTATAAGGTATATATTTTTTTCTAACTGTGCCGCTGATAGGTCTGCAAGGTCTAAATGCAATGCTTAAACTCGAAAACATTTCCTCTTTAAGAATGTTAAAATTTATTCAAATCACACTAACCGTTTGGAACTTTCAACGTTTAATTTTTGTATCACTGTGCAGCGGTTGATTTCATTATTTTCGATTTGTTTTCATTCACCTCCATTTTGACATTTGACGTGTAAACAAAAAACATATGACGGGTAATAATAAAAAATAAACATAATTTTTTTATTTTTGTTCGCAAAGTGTAATTTTTGTGTTTGTGTTTTAATAATGGCCGAGGAAATTGATGATAATGGCTTTTATCGCGAAGATTTTAGTGCTGAATCCGATTGGGAAATATTCAATGCCCAATTGTGTGAGCTATTCCAAAAATGGGAGTTGTCAAACAGTGACTGGGGACGCAAATTTCAGCCAAATGAATTGTTTCAATGCAATTGGAAAATTGACGAGGAACTGTTGGATGTAAAGGGTAACCATGTGGCAGTGGCTTATTATCGAGCCGATTTGAAGCCATTAGAAAGAGGAAAAACTAAGGGAATGATTAGTGGCACCACAGTTAGTGAGACACCCATGCATGAAGACTTACTGTCGCTAAATAATACTTTCGGTCCGGCGGTTTTGGATGAAAAGACCAGACACATACACTGGTTGGCGAGATTTTATGGTCTCAGACGTTTTGTGGTTTTAAATCCACATAGTGAGCAAAATAGTTTTATTACCAAACGTTCCGAATTTAGTTTTTACTTCAGTGCCCTGTCAGTAGTGGCAGGAGAAATTTGTGCCGCTGTACCCATGTTTGTGCAAATCTATGATCAAAAATGGAATTTCTTTTTGGGTCTAGGCATAACCTCTTATATGCGCACTAATTTTGATTTGGTGGCCTTGGAACAACCACCACAGGATTATTGCTATTTATCGGGTTTGCTAGCAATGTTTAAAGAAAAATTGCCCAAACATTGCAAACAGCCAGCTTTGGTATCGGTACGTACAACGTATGCATTGGATACGGTGAAAATACGTGTACCCATGTATGTGCCATTTGGCATGACTCCCCTAGTAGATGAGGATCGTTCGGTTATTAGTCTATCCTATTTTACGGCTTTGCCTCATGGCTATTTCCCCGACTCCCACACAAAAATATTTGCCATTTTCACCTGGCCTGAGTTGACTGACAATATGGTTATTGATTCTGCCATTCAAACACAATTTGTACCAACTAAGGCACCTGGAGGTGCCATACATCAAGTGGTAAATGCCAACTCGTACTTGACTTCATGCATTAAACATTTTCACAATTTAATAACCGCTAAGAATATGCTGGAATCCTATGTGGGCCGTAACTTTACGGGAACATTGTCTCCCTCCGAGTTAGCCAATCCTTTGGAGCAATTAACCAAGCCGCATTTGGGCAAATTCCAGGCCTATCGTCAAATGAAACGTAGCGATGAAAGTGGTCAACAGTCACCGGCTTTAAAAAAACTACCCGGTCCTATGCATGAACATGAACTCAATCAAATGTTGTACTATTTATTTCCCGATTTACATCCCGATGTGGCTTTGTTTCCCTACGAAACCAGTGATTTGTTTAAGGTAAATGTTATTAAAATTTTTAAGTAATTTAATCTCGCTTATGCTGTTTTATTTTTTTTAAGGATCCTCATCGCATTAAATCGGCGGTGGCAGATTCATTGGTTCATCGTTTGAGTTGCTTACTAGCCACCTGTAATGCTCATTTTGGTGGTAAAAGTGGTTTGGCTCAATTATGGGCTACTTTTACCCGAGAATTACGTTTACTTTGGGATTGTTGTATTATCATACCGGGGTAAGTCTGTGTTTATTATAATTTATTAAAATATTTTTCATATTCATAGCAAAACTGAGGTTTTAATGTTGCAAATTTATAAAATATTTTTTCAAAAAACTTAATTAAAATTATACCAAAATTGAGTTCAAAATTGAACCTAATCTGGAATTTTCTTCGGCATTTAATTTGGGTAAAAAACGAGTCACACATTTTTCTTTAATATTTCTTAAATTTTATTTCTTGAATTTTTTTGTTGAGTCAATAATTTTTGGAATGATCATCGAAAATGATTTCTATAAAACTATAACTAAAACTGAACTAGAACTGAACTAGAACTGAACTAGAACTGAACTAGAACTGAACTAGAACTGAACTAGAACTGAACTAGAACTGAACTAGAACAGAACTAGAACTGAACTAGAACTGAACTAGAACTGAACTAGAACTGAACTAGAACTGAACTGGAACTGAACTAGAACTGAACTAGAACTGAACTAGAACTGAACTAGAACTGAACTAGAACTGAACTAGAACTGAACTAGAACTGAACTAGAACTGAACTAGAACTGAACTAGAACTGAACTAGAACTGAACTAGAACTGAACTAGAACTGAACTAGAACTGAACTAGAACTGAACTAGAACTGAACTAGAACTGAACTAGAACTGAACTAGAACTGAACTAGAACTGAACTAGAACTGAACTAGAACTGAACTAGAACTGAACTAGAACTGAACTAGAACTGAACTAGAACTGAACTAGAACTGAACTAGAACTGAACTAGAACTGAACTGGAACTGAACTAGAACTGAACTAGAACTGAACTAGAACAGAACTAGAACTGAACTAGAACTGAACTAGAACTGAACTAGAACTGAACTAGAACTGAACTGGAACTGAACTAGAACTGAACTAGAACTGAACTAGAACTGAACTAGAACTGAACTAGAACTGAACTAGAACTGAACTAGAACTGAACTAGAACTGAACTAGAACTGAACTAGAACTGAACTAGAACTGAACAAGAACTAAATTAGAATTAGAACTTACCTTTATGAATGCCCTACAATAAAACGTCTCTAACTAGAACTCTAACTCTGAACTGGAACTAGAACTGAACTAGAAATAGAACTGAACTAGAACTGAACTAGAACTGAACTAGAACTGAACTAGAACTGAACTAGAACTGAACTAGAACTGAACTAGAACTGAACTAGAACTGAACTAGAACTGAACTAGAACTGAACTAGAACTGAACTAGAACTGAACTAGAACTCAACTAGATCTGAACTAGAACTGAACTAGAACTGAACTAGAACTGAACTAGAACTGAACTAGAACTGAACTAGAACTGAACTAGAACTGAACTAGAACTGAACTAGAACTGAACTAGAACTGAACTAGAACTGAAGTAGAACTGAACTAGAACTGAACTAGAACTGAACTAGAACTGAACTAGAACTGAACGAGAACTGAACTGAACTAGAACTGAACTAGAACTGAACTAGAACTGAACTAGAACTGAACTAGAACTGAACTAGAACTGAACTAGAACTGAACTAGAACTGAACTAGAACTGAACTAGAACTGAACTAGAACTGAACTAGAACTGAACTAGAACTGAACTAGAACTGAACTAGAACTGAACTAGAACTGAACTAGAACTGAACTAGAACTAGAACTGAACTAGAACTGAACTAGAACTGAACTGAACTAGAACTGAACTGAACTAGAACTGAACTAGAACTGAACTAGAACTGAACTAGAACTGAACTAGAACTGAAAGAACTAGAACTGAACTAGAACTGAACTAGAACTGAACTAGAACTGAACTAGAACTGAACTTGAACTAGAGCTGTATTGATTGAGAACTTACCTTTGTAAATGTCCTACAATAAAACGTCTCTCACTCTCTCATCCCTCAACTTTTTTTTTAACAAAAATATGCAATTTTATTTGGCAAAAATGTTGAAATGTTTGTGTACTTTACAATAATAATGCAATTCAATACATACATAACCCAAAAAAAAGGACTTACAAATACAAACAATACTTATGGCTAATTATAAATATTTTCTAGTGAATTTTTCTATATGATTTATGATTGTGTTTATTTTTTTACTATTATTATATACTTACTTACATAATAAATATATATTTTTGAACAAATTACCCATATGCGCTAATTATGTATTCACAAACTTATTAAATATTTGTTTTCGTTAAGTGCGCCTCTAAATCTATAAAAAATGTTTAATGAATTATTTTAATTTTATTCATATTAATAATGAACATACTATAAGTAATATGTATGTATTTATAATTAAGTTTTGACTTTATGTACAATAATAATTGTGTAGTTCTTTCTACTCTCTAGAATCTAGATTGTAATGTTGTGTGTATGAAGCCACTAATGTTAATGCCTACTGTACACAATTTTATTTATTTTGCTAATTAAATATTTTTGTTTTTTTTTTGTGTATAATATTATTATTTGCTATTTTTATTGCTAGTGTTTTAATATCAAGGATTATTTTCTAATGGACACTTGAGTGTTTATTTGCAAAAAAAAATCCTTGAATGTGTAATAATGTATGTTTTGATAATGGTGTTTTGTGTTAAGGCAGTTTATTATCTCAATATATATGTATGTTTTTTTTGGTTTTGTATCATGACTTTTAGAAATATTTGCTAATTTTAAGATACTACTTATATTAAAAAGTTTTGTGTATAACAAATTTCAATTGATATTCAGTTTTATGGGGAAATACTTCAGTACATCTTATCACCTGAACTTGCTTTAATGTTTCAGTCAAAATATTCTGCTATTCTAACGCACTATTATTTTGTATACAGCTAAATACCGTTAACTTGTCTGCAACAAGTTGATATGCAAACTGAAGGCCTGTAATCGGTCATTTGCTGTTTCCTACTTTAAAAGTGTAAACCGTTATCTACGAACATCTCATTGAGATAAACCAGTAGTTTTACGGTTTACCTATCTAAACTCACAATACAACCACAAGGATTGGAAGTTATCCTTATAGGGACGGTTTTCATGGTAAATTATACAATTTCTTCACGGCTCGAAATGTGCTGCTATGCACTTGAACAAATAAGTTAAATCAATCTTGACGTCGTAGTCGATGATGCTTAAATTCAAGCTTTCACAGTCCTCAGCTCAGCCATTGATAAGGACCACTTGGGATATGGATAAAAAGCCATTTGAGAAACATTTAAAGCTGCCAAAATGCTGTTGTTGTTACAAACTGTATGCGAATAACCTCGCAACACCACCTACATAAGGAAACGAAGGTCCTCATACCTGACGCCTGAATGCAGTCTGAAAGTCCTGTACTTGGAAGTCGCCCAGCGCTGATAGCGGAAAAATAAGAAAACCTACCGCGCAAAATAAAACTTACCATACAAAACAAGAGTTGCTCAGATACAGGGTCCTTATGGTACTCAACTATTCAGCTAACCCTTCTTCACTTTGTCCAATGGTTTTATGGACCCTGTAGAAGTAGCACAATTCTTAGGTCTAGAACACAATGCAGAACCCCCGTCTTAGATAATTGTATAGTCTCAGCAGTTATAACAAGAGCAAATAGCGGGCAACAACTATATACGCACGACTTCTGAAGATGCAGAGGCAAGACTTTAAGTAGAAACGTAAAATAGCCCTAATCAAATCTGGAAACTAAGTGAACCATGTATGTCAAATCTCATCAGCAATCCTAAAGAAAGTCGTTTGCCTTCTTCTCCCTACACTAAATCATACCGAACAGTGGCTGGCTCATTATCAGCATAGCTTTTGCAAACTGCGGAGAGATAGTTAATCCTATATCTTTGAGGGAATACATCTACTTTCCTTAACCCAACCTTCGAAGATATGAATTCTCGAGTTTAGAGACAGATGCTAAGAAAATGTTGAACTCAACAAGAGGATCAAAATACGAGATTATGTTGCCTCTTTTGTTCACTTTCTAAAGCTAAAAAAACTACGTGAGCCAGGAAAGCCTAATCTCAATATCACTCGCGAAGACAATCGTAGTTTTTCTTTTCCTCACACGGAATGGCACCGAACAGTCATCACCATATGTGAATCTATATACATATCTTCCTTCCTTAATCCAACTTTCGGAAGAGATGAATCGTCAAGTTTAGAGTCAACTGAAATAAAAATGTTTTATTAAATGTTGACTCTTTTGGTCAATTTCTAAAGTTAACAACGAGTCGTTGTTCATGTCACCAGGTTTTCGCAAACTTCTGAACATTAGTTCTGATATGACTTTGAGGATGTGTCTGCCATCCTTATCAACTTTCGTAATATGTAGATTAATAGCCCAGTTTAGAGGCAGAAGCTCAAAACATCGTGGGGATCCTATGCATATAATTCACTACACTATCAGAACTTTCAATATTTTGTGCAATGAGTCCTTTATATATTATATTCGGAATAGTTTCCAACCAACTTAAACAAAATTTGAACTTCTGAATGTTATTGTTGTGAATTTAGAAATTCTTTATAAGAAAAGTCCGGAGAGAGCAAAAGTGAAAGCTCTCAAAACAATTAGTTTGTGGGAGAGGTTGAGAAAACTTTATTTTGCTAGGAAATATCGAATATTCGTTAGAAGTAGTAACTCACTGCCCGAGATCCCAGGGAGATGACACTCAGGATATATATAACCATTAATAACTTTCACTCTAGAATTCATTTGAGAGACTCACACCTTAAACCTGATATGTGGGAAATTATTATCAATTGAATCCATAATTTGGGTTCCTTGGACGAATCTGTTTCGTAAAATGCCGACACTATTTTCATGTTGAAATTTACGCAAGTGAAACTTAAACTCGAGACTCAATCTTAAGACTTAATTATTTAAGATGATAAGATCGAAATGTATTCCCAATTGCATTCACCCCCTGTCTCAATTTTAACGACATTATGTCGAATTCTTTTGGGTACCTTGGACAAATATGTTTGGAATTCCCCTGGCTGTCCACTATTTACT